TACGTCCACTGGAAGGTTTGATTTTGAATAAAATTATTTGGTAGTACAGTAACAATCTTATTTTATCATTTTGTCACATGTGACAAGTACTAGGCTACTAGACTCAATACAAATTTCAGACACAATAGTACTTTGCCACAATTTACTAAAATATTTGTAAATATGCAACTGTGGCCTCTATAGTATGGAGGTCAATTTGCGCCATTAATCCATGCTGCACCGATTTGTCTATGATATCTTATTACCTACTACTTACAATTCAAACAACTTAATGATTGAAATGCTAAAATCAAATGTTTATATTCATAATATGTAACTTAACTAAAAAGTACATTAAATCAATTAAATAATATTTGATAAATACCAGAAGTATATTTTCAACTGTAAAGTGTTATTTGTAAAGTGGAAAATGTAGTAAAATGATATGTGTAACTTCTTTTGTGTATTATGTCTTCTGTTTTATCTCAAATGAATTATCTTTTATGCAAATTACTAAAGTCGCGACCCTTTTGAATATTCAGCATTGCTACGTCATTTTTTTTTTAAACAATATGGTGGCCCACAAGGAAATAAATTAAGTTTTCAAAAAATTTTATGTTCTGTTTCGCCTTAAATCATATTGGCGAATGTCACCGAAGAGCCTTATAAATGCCCTGATTAGTTCTGAAGCTTAATAATGGTGCCATGCATGTTCGACATTTTCCGGCCGAACGTTCGTCGGTCCGTCCACAATTGCTTGTAAATATAATCTTTAAATGACATTTAGAAGTAGGTAGAACATTCAGCAAGAACAACTATTATGGATATAATATTAAAGTAAAGGAGTAGTATATCCATAATAGTTGTTCTTGCTGAATGCTTGTAAATATTCTAAAAGTCACAATTATTGATAGATTTTAACAAAACTTTGTGTAATTGCTTATTATCACTCAAGGATGAACCTTGAATATAAGACAAATGGAAAAATGTTAAGTATGAATTATTGCCCTTGTTCTTGAACACTCATTCAATTTTTTAGCTCGTAAACACTCTTGAAGGCACTATTCTTAATGGATTTTGACAAAACGTGGTGTAAATGCTTATTATCCTTATCATTATCATTATGATTAATGTGAGTTATTACCCCTGTTCTTGAAAACGCGTTATATTTTTTAGCTTGTAAACACTCTGTGATTACGTGCAATTGTAGACGGACTGAAGAACGGCCGGACGGAAAATGTCGATTTTATATTTCAATCATCATTGTTTGAATTATAAGTAGTAGGTAATAAGATATTTTACATTTGTCTTTGAATCAGTGTATTAGACAAATCGATAGAGCATGGATTAATGGCACAAATTGACCTCCATACTATAGTGCTCACAAGTTAATTGTGAACAGACGACCGCAGACAGGGGCGATAGCAATATACGACCACATTACAATGTGGGCGTATAAATACTGCAATTAACTCAATTAATACATATATGTCTAAATATCAAAAACTGCATTTAACTCAATAAATACACTTCATGGCTCAAAAAAAAAAAAAAAAAAAAAAAAAAATTCAAATAACTCAATAAATACACTTCATGGCTCAATTTATAAAATTCAAATAACTCAATAAATACACTTCATGGCTCAATATATAAAATTCAAATAACTCAATTAATACACTTCATGGTTTCATGGCTCAAAATGAAATAATCATGGTTAAATTCAATATAACAAGGACTGATATTCCTTTTACGATTTTGTTGAATTTTCGATAGGGTCCATCTTTGAGTACTAATAAACAATTTCACCAAGCTTTGTCAAGAATTGTGCCTTCCAAAATGTTTACGAACTTCAAATTAAACCCATATCAAGGAACATGGACAATAACGTTCGATTAATAAACAACTTTGACAAAATCCACCAAGAATTGTGACTTTGTCGATGTTTACAAGCTAAAAATTAAATGCGTTTCAACAAACAAATGGGTAATAACTGATATCAAGTATTCCTTGATTGTTCGGACTTTCAATAGGTTTCATCAGTGGGAGATAAACAATTTCAAGTTTTGTCAACATCAGTGATGAACTGTGCCTTCTAGAGTGTTTATAACATTGTGGACGGACAGTGACAACAATATACATTCCACATTTCATATATAAAAATAGCGATGCCATCGTAATATTCCCACATTTGTAATGACAGCTAATTTGTCCGGGAGGTTGACAAGAGGTATACAAGTAAATGAATGTTTCTGAGAGTGAAATTTTCATATTTCATGGGTTTTGTTAACAGCTTTTTTATTCAAGTGGGTTTAATTTAACATGTCAAGTTTCATTAATCTATATAGAATTTAATCTTTTGAGTGACAGCAAGTGGCAATTCTTTGTGTTAAGACAGTTATCATTGTGGCAATATTATTCAATTTCGCTGATTTTCAAGAGGGTTCATCCTTTGGTGAATACAAACACTCACACCAAGTTTCGTCAAAATCCATCAAGAAACCAGCTCTCTATCGTGTCCACAAACAATTCAAGAACATGGGCAATAACTCATAGTAAATATTTTTCGATTCGTCTGATTTTCAATCGGGTTCATCCTTGGGTGATTACAAACACTCACACCAAGTTTCGTGTGCGACCATTACGTTTCAGAGGCAGAGAATCAACTGAATAATCGTAAACATTATGCCATTTTACCGAAACCAATTTTCAAAGAAACTGCTAACATGATTAACAATATTCTTGCCGATTTAGTCAAAACTAGTCAAAACTAGTTATCTCAAACAGAAACAATATGACTATCTGTCTGCCAAACCTGATTGTCGCGAGAGACATTTGCACACTTTGCCTAAAATCCATAAGAATCCAACCAAGGAGTGGTCTATCTCGAATAAATCCGCCGATTATATCCGACTGTGGTAGTGAGTCATATGCAGTGACAGAATACATTGATCATTTCTTACTACCTCTAGCATGTCAACATCGCGCCTACCTTAAAGACACAACCGATTTTGTCAATAAAATAAAAAATCTTCGAGTTCCTTCTAATGCTGTTTTAATTTCTATCGACGTTTCTTCTATGTATACCAATATCGATAACACTACTGGTCTAACGACAGTTCGTAAAGCTTTTAATAGAAACCCAGATCCAAACAGACCCGAGGATGCAATTCTACAGCTTTTAGAGATTTGTCTTAGTCGAAACGATTTCACATTTAATGGTAATACATATTTACAAACTTCAGGGACAGCAATGGGCAAACGATTCGCCCCTTCGTACGCAAACCTTTTCATGGCAGAGTGGGAACGTGGGGTATTGACCCTCTGTCCATTTGACCCACTTTTTTACGGACGCTTTTTGGATGACATTTTTATGGTTTGGACCTATTCTATCGAACAGTTTTGGGAATTCTTTTAAATACTCAACAACCACCATCCTTCTATCAAACTAACAGCAAACGTGAGTGATAAAAGCATAGACTTTCTCGATACCACAGTCTTTAAGGGAGATTCCATAGCAGAAACAAATAAACTGGATATTAAAGTGTATTTCAAAGAAACTGATACTCATCAACACCTGCACAAGTTTTACGATTTCATCGAATTTGTACAAAATCTTCTGATTTCAACCAAGCCTGTACGATTGTTTTCTCAAAACTGAAAGAGCGTGGGTACTCTAAACGATTTTTACGAAACATAAAAAATTCAACCTTAGCACAGATAGCAGCTAAAAACAGACTTTAAGCCGAAGTACCTCCAGGTTTAAGAAGTGCTCCATGTTTGTCCAGTAGATGCAAAACATGTCCCTTTATATCAGAAACTCATTATTTTGTAAGCAACTCTACGAATAAAAGGTACTCGATCCAGGAACATATAACATGTGGACATTCGAATGTAATATATTTAATTTCATGCAAGAAATGTCCCAAACAATATGTAGGAGAATAAGAATAATTTACGAACTCGCTTTAATGCTCATAGGTCAGACATCAAATTAAAGAAAGACAAGCCTGTTTCTAATCATTTCAACCTCGACGACCATTCAATAGACGATCTCACCTTAATCCCAATTGAGCGTATAGAAATTGACGTGCCCGAAGATGAAACTACCAAATTCCGTCAATCTAGGGAAGCCCATTAGATTGAGACATTGAATACAGCAAGACCTATAGGACTAAATATTCATCATAATGTAGGCCTTTGTTGTCCCGTTTAATACAACCAGCAATCGAGCAACTAAGATAGTTCATACCCACTATAAGAGCCTTCAAGAGAAATTCCCCCATGTCTATAAGCAGAAAATGATAGTTGCATATTCAAAAAATAAGAACTTAAATGATAATATTGTTCATAGTAAACTAAAAACAATCAATACATAACAGATACTATCCTTATTTTTTCTAATTTCAGATCAGAATAAGAACAGAAAAAAACCCAATATCAAGACCATTAATCCTAATTTCTAAATAAAGTGTCTGCTCCACCCTAGGCCTGTACATTTGGAAGAATCAAACCCTCCCTTGCCCGAAAACTATTAAACCAGCAAGATATTTAATGGTTGGTTTCAAGAACTTACCAGACTCTCAGACGAATAAAAATAATATCTTTACAGTAGCAACGAACCAAACTCAAGATCCTATAATCCATAATGTTCAAGTAAGATTAAACAATTAATATTAATAATTAATAACAATTAATAATTATCCTAACCAACCTTTAACAATTAATCCAACCACAAAGGATTATAATGAATTGTATAGAAACCATAAAAACATGTGTGAATTGTTTGGAAATCCACCTCAGTTTGAATATGTAGATTTTGCACTTAATCATCCAATCTTCTGTTTTGATCTATCAGCTCACCAAGAAGATCTTTTCAAAACAGGAGTGAACATAAATATTCATATTGAAAAAACACAAGGAGATGTGACCGGGTATTGTTTATTATTGGAAGAAGCAAAACATTTAATTAAAATAGCAGATAGAAGAATGATAAGAATTGAGTAAAAAATATACTCTTAAAAATGAAAGTAGAAACTTTAGTTATGAAAATAATAGAAGCTATTGAAACAGCTTACCCAACTGTAATAACTTTCAATGGTAAAAAAATCAGCATAACTAAAAACCTTATTGATAAATACAAATATTGTAAAGTCAGAGACGATATAGACTTAGAAAGAATTGACGCGAACGCAAAAGAAGATGGATTTTTACATTTCCTACTACCTTTAATATTTGATGGTATTGCAGCGGCGGGTGCAGCAACTGGTGGAATATCTGCCGCAGTCAAATCTGCCAACGCAAAGAAAGCAGCTGATGCTAAAGCCGCTGAAGAACGCAGACATAATTTAATAATGGAAAAGGAAGCCAAAGGTTCGGGAGTGGGAAATATGATAGGCACAATAAAAGAATTTGGAAAAAGATTTGGGGAAGAAACCAAGAAAACTGTTAAACAAGGATTAAATAAATTAGTAGATAGTATTGACACAGGAGAAGTCAAAGTTAAACATAAGGGTAATGGGCTATTTTTTAAAAATATACACACTGGAGAAGGATTATTTCTTTCAAAGTATAAAAAGAAGGAGTGATTTTTGGAATAAAATAAAATAATAAAAAATGGGCAAAAAATTTAATCGTTCAGAAATATTTCCTAATAACCCAATGCTCATGTGTATATGCGGTAGTTCCGGTTCTGGGAAATCTCATCTCACTTTTAACATGTTGACAACACCAAACCCTTTAGATTTCGATTCTTTGTATATCTACACCAGAACAATCGTATTATCAATTCTTCAAAGCTTTAGAATATCAACCAAAGAAAGATGTTCAAGACATATTTCAATATTACGAAGAAAACGAAGAAGAGGTGGAAATAGATATCATAGATAACTTCATTAAATCAAAGAATCCAACGGATATAAAAGTTTTTTCTTACGAAAAATGTTAATGATCTAGACTTGTTTAATATTGATAGCAATCAAAAGAACTTAATATTGTTTGACGACTGCGTAGCGCAAAGAAATCAAGCTGTTCAACAAGAATTCTTCACGAAAGGAAGAAATCACAACTGTCACTGCATATACCAATCCCAATCTTTTTACGGGATGGATTCTTTGTTCATTAGAAAAAATGCAAATTGTTTTTTATTTTTTGAATTAAACGATAAAGATTTATCTCAAATCATTCAGTCGATAAATCACGGAATGGATAGAGATACATTTAAAAAGGTTTGAAAAGCTCAATGGAGAAATCCAGATGATCATGGATATGTATTTGTAACTACTAGAAAACCTGCGGGTGAAAGAGTTATGATCGACATATGTTAATTATATTTTTTTTTTAAAATGGATAATTGGAATAATATTTTAAAAAGAAATAGAGAATATATCAGAGCTAAGAATAAATAAATTACAACAACTTAGATTAACAGAAAATCTACAAACTCTATTTCAACCAATATTAAAATCTCAAGAGGATATTAAAAAGAAATTAGCTTTAGAATATAAATCCACCCCTCATCACCCCAAACCGATTGAATATGGTGGTATTATAATTAGGACATTAGATGATATAAAACATTATTTTTCAAACCCTAACCCAGTTTTACCAAAGAGCATTTCACCAATCGTTGATGATGTGGGGTTATTGGTTAATGGTTTTAGAATAAGATTTAGTCCAAATTCACCACAATTCAAAATCGATACAAAAGATTTTATATACACATTAACAAAAGGATTGATAGATTTAATGAATGGCGAGGATGTTGGCATTGGCGATTATAAGGATTTAGTTGCATACTCAAAATGCAATTAGAAAGTCAGGACCCGAAACAAAAAGATTGAAAGAAGTTGATATATATATATAACAAAAGTTATTGAGCAAGATGAAGAGGAGGTAGGTGATTATGCAGAAGATTATCCACCAATCATACAAGAAATAGGCGAATTCGAAAATATTGTATCTGGACAAGAATTAGACGAATTCGAAGATATGGTATCTGGACAAGGTATAACGTTTTTATCCGACAATAAAGAACTACTTAATAGATTACAAATAATATTAGCGGCAATGAAGGAAGGACATCGATCAAACAGACAATATAATGAAGTAAATTGTATACTAAAAAGACTCCTAGAGAAAGGTATTATAGATAAAAATGATTATAAAAGCGTGATTAAAAATGTCAAATAAAGAACAACTATTCGTTATCACCTCAAATAAATCAGACATTAAATTGTCTCTAGATTATGAGTACGAACTCGATCGCAATCAAGAATATGAATTGGAATTAAAGTATTTCTCTGTTTACAATTCCATTAGAAATATCAACGATAAATATAACCAAATAAAAATATCAATAGATAATGGAGTTACATTCAATTGAATTGAATTGAATGGAGTTTTACGTCCTACTGAGTTACATTCAAAACCATACGTTTACTACCAGGAAGCTACGAATACGTAGCCATTAATGAATACCTATCTGAAAACGGAGGAAGTGCAAATGGTAAAAACAATATTGAATTCAAAGGTAATTTGAATCTGAACAAAATAAAATTGACATAAAGAAATAATAGTCAAGTTGATTTCAACGTAGAAAATTCATTGAATGCGTAACTAGGATTTGATAAACAAATATTCACGCAATCCACTTTAGCACCACACAAAGCTAATATCGAGAATGATATCGATGTGATAAATATACATTGCAATTTGATAAACGGTGGATTTTTTAATAAATACAAACGTCAGATTATTTACAGTCTTCCAACATTCACTGTACTGATAGGCTATAGAATTATAGAGAAACCGTTTCAAACGACATATTTACCACTTAATTCCTTTATGATTAAAGATATAAATCTGGAAATCAAAGATGGTAAAAATAGGTTTATAGATTTTGGTAACGAGGAAATTGTTATTCAATTTCATTTAAAACAAAAAAATTGAATTAAACACTCTTCATTCTCTTCTTGAATAGTAAGGTAATCGAAATCATCAAATTTGTAGTTTTCATCCAAACTCAAGTCATCTTTATCACTTTTAGGATACATGCTTCTTTCGCTGTCCGGTGCCTTTATCTTAACGAGATTTAGATAACTTTTAAAAACTTTCTTTTGTTTATCATCATCCTTTGGAATAACTACTCCATTGGTGAAACTTTTTTCCCATGGTTTCTTAAATTCATTCGTCACGTCATGTCCACTAGCTAATCGAATATAATCTTCACAGCTATCTTATCATTAGAGTAACCCTTAAACGTTTTCTTTTCTTTTAGAATACCGTCAGTAGTTAATAATATTATATTTAACTTTTGGCGCTAAATATAAACCATATATAATTCCACCATCACCGTAATCATTCTTTCCATTACAATAATCATTTTCGGACACCAACCCAGCTTCATTTAATTTATCCCAATTGCTAGACGAAATGTATAAACTATCAATATCTGTATAGTATATTTCCGGCTTATAAATCTATTACGTGAATAAAATTATTCATTATTTTTTTACTGTGAGATAATACGAATGACCCCAAATGACTAGGTGTTAGTCGTGTAGATTTAGGAGGTATACAGTCAAATTCTTTTTCTTCTTCATTTATCTGAACGATATGTTGAGTCTCATTTACTTTAGGATAGTTTTTGACGTGTGAATCGAAGTTGGCTTTTAAACTTGCTTCACTCCATAAATGTCTCGATGTAGTTATATCCTTCTGAATAGAATTACCTGATAATTTCATACAATTACTACCTACGATATTACCTTCTCGTTTATATTTATTTCTTAGATCTCTCAAAATTAAAATATAATCTCTATATGGTGGAGTTTTAAAATTTTCTTCGTATACTATACCATCTAATATTCCAATAATTCGTCCACCGGCTTTAACTAGTTCTTGAATATCGACCGATGTTAAAAGTTCTGAACAGAAACCATTTCTGAACCTGATTTTAGTGCCAGTTTCCTTATTACCTTCTTTGTTCGTAAAAGTAATTTTATCTTTAGCTGGTATGGGTTGGAAGAACATATTGGTAGGATATTTAAACCAGACTTTTAAAATAGCCGTTCTAGGTATGAATTTCTGCTCATTAAAGAGCTTGACAAATTCTTCTTCTTCCTCAGGTAAACATTTTCTAGCACTTTCCACTTGGATATTCGCTGTGTAGTACAGTTAATTTTTTGAAGTTTTGAATTAACTTCTGTTTTATCTTTTTTACTTTTACTATATTCTTTAAATAAATCAATCATAATATCACTTGGTGTTTCACTAAACTCTTCAATACATTACAAATTTCATCCATTTTATTCGTTTCAAATGATTTTCGATTTGCCGAAACTCTTCCTCCTTTAATGGATTGTCTGATAAAATATCTTATAAAAGGGTGTGTATGTGAGTAAACTTTTCTACGTTTTCTTTTTCGGTGTGTTTCGGAACCATTCTAGTACTTTCATACCATTCTTCTTCAACCATTTCTTTATTGTAATGATACAAATAATACCAACCCTTTAAAGATAAAGAAGGAGCCGTTAGATTATTGGAAATATTCTGGAATACAACTTCTTTCATAACTTTGTTATATTTTATCAAACAAGCTCCAAGACATAACGTATCTCTTTTAGCGTAAGGTTCCCATTCGTGTCTTAAAGATTCCCAGTTATCTTCGATGTATTTTGCAATATTGATATCAGTGATCTTTCTCAAATTCAATGGTAGATTAGATGAATTTCCCCATGCCGCCAAACTAGATTTTTCATGTTGATAGGAACATATGAAATTAATATTTTGCAAATAATTAGAGTTATTTGTTTTTGTCTTTTCCATTTTTTCTGTAAGTATTCATCGGTGAATAAATTAGTTAAAGGTAGAGACAGAATGCCTCTAGCTGTTACTAGTGGACATTGCGTTAGTTTTTTCGCATTTTTAAGCACGATCCAATTATCAAAACCACTACCGTTATGAGAAATTAATGTTAATCTTTTTTGATCTATTTTCCTAAACGTTGTAACATTTGATGATGCAATCTTTACCCACAAATATTTCTACTATATTCATTAATTTATTATAAAATGGTACACTATCAGTGGGATTTAAATCTGGAAAGTTATGTTTTATTCTGTCTAACATTTTTCTTAGTTTTTCTAAATTAATTAACGTGCAAGCATAAGGAATGGCTTTATAGGTTTTGCAATATCATGCGTATAAACAATCATCATGAATTGTTGGAAAAACATTTGTTACCGCATTATCATCTTTACAAGTTCTCCATACGTTTTCATCGTAATTATCTTCTATTTCTTTAATGCCTAAGGTTTTGTTATTTCTTCTAATGAGACAGAAATGTGATTTATGTAAGTAAAATACCCAATCTAATTCTTCGGATACTTTCTTTGGTTGAAAATGTCTATGTTTGGGCATATAAATTTGAAAATAAGTATTAAATTTCTTATTGAATTCACAGATTCTAGCAGTTGTCATAACTCCTTTTCTGTTTGATTTTGAAAAACTGTTGATGAAATCTTGAAATTCTTTTGTGTAGTCTTCGTTCAAAACATAATTTACGCACTTTACAAAGCAGTATCCATCGCTTGGTATATAACAATTTATACCGCTTCTTTATTAATTTATCTTTTTGAGTAGACCACTACCCTTTTTTGATCTTTTTATTTCTTTGAAATTGTTTCTACGTAAAATGATTTTTCCTGAGAAATACCATCCGATTTTACATCCACAGTTGCGAAGAAATTGTGAAAAGTTTTGGCATTAAAGCCTACAAATGGCATGTTTTGTTTGTGTTCTCCATCTTGAATAATCTCTCCATCTAATTCAATTTGCCCTTTAAATGTTGTAAATTCATCAGTGATAAGGTTAATAATATTGAAAAAAAGTTCATTTGATATGAATGTTTCATCGTCTAAAATTTCAATTTTATTCATATTATTAAGCAACTATTTTTAACTAGGAATTTTTAACTTTTATTGATGATATCTCTACATCAAATTTATCTAAAATTTCATTGAATTTTTCTAATTCTTCAATGGCTATGTTCTTATCTTCCTTGGATCTTTCGAAAAAAATGAATAATTTATTAAGATATGTATTTAAAATTTCTGTTTTCTTTTTATAATGAGATTTCTGTTTTGATGTAAAACCTAAAGTAATCAATCCACAAGATGAAGTTTGAACGGCAGTGAACGCGGCTAATACAGTTGGGACAATTATTGGAAGCATTAATCCACCGGTTACGGCTGTTGCCACCGTCATCCCTACTGTTAGAACTGTGCTCCATGTTTTTCTGCATTTGTTAAAGTGTTTTAGTTTGTCTTTTAGTTCATTTTGTTTTTCTATCATGTAGTTTTGTCTGCTTTCTAATTCCATTTTTAAGTAATTAAATTAAATGAATTTCTGATAAAGCAAAAGATGGAAAGTGTTTAACATCTACAATAAGTTGTGCATTCTTTATTTTTTCATTATCTGTTATAATTATTTCAGGTTTAATAATAAAAACTTTTACACTTACTAAGGATATTTGTTCTTTCGAATCATTAAACTTATTCAGATGAACTGAAAATTTTGCTTTTTCGTTAATGATTGTTATTATACATCTACAGGTATATATACCTCCAACCTCTGTTCCATCATTACGTTCAATTATTGATGAAAATATTATAAATTGTTTACCTTGTTGACTTTTATGAATATCGACTGAGGTAAATAAATTATCTGAAGAGAAAGTTCCGTCTTCATGTAAAAAAAACTATTATTTACAAAATATAGTTTTACGTATTCAAAGTCTGTCGTTCGTAAAAAGTCATAGCTGATGGTGAAGTTTCCATCTCCAATATCATATCAAAATCACTCAATGAAAGTTCACCTTCTTCATTATCTGGTATGATTAACATTCTAAACCTATCTATATATTTTCCACTCGTTTTAATTTTATATAAGTGATTAGCCTTGTTGTTTTCGTCGTTAATTTATAATTCTTTAGTTTCTACATTTTTTGTACCATTGATAAACTGAAGAACTTTACGAGGGTGAATTGACTAGATGAATATAAGTTTTGTATGAAGAATATTGATTCAACTTTTACCTACAATGGAAAAATAATTTCAATTACAATTTTTTCCGGGAAAAAAAAAATTAAGAATCAAATATTTCATAGGGGGAGGTTAAATCTGGAGAATATACTCTTATATTTGCTGTAAATCCATATTTTTTCAATTCATAATCTTTTGATTTATCAATATTGTCAGTAATAGAAGCATCGCTATGTCTATAAGAAGATGAAACTACCAAATTCCGTCAATCTAGGGAGGCCCATTGGATTGAGACATTGAATACAGCAAGACCTATAGGGCTAAATATTCATCATAATGTAGGCATAGCACCCTTTGTTGTCCCGTTTAATACAACCAGCAATCGAGCAAGCAAAATAGTTCATGCCCACTATAAGAGCCTTCAAGAGAAATTCCCCCATGTCTATAAGCAGAAAATGATAGTTGCATATTCAAAAAATAAGAACTTAAATGATAATATTGTTCATAGTAAACTAGAAACAATCAGTACATAACAGATACTATACTTCTCGCCCATCGGGCGAGTTATTTTTTCTAATTTCAGGTCAGAATAAGAACAGAAGAAAACCCCAAATCAAGACCCTTAATCCTAATTTCTAAATAAAGTGTCTGCTCCACCCTAGGCCTGTACATTTGGGAGAATCAAACCCTCCCTTCCCCGAAATCTAATACTGTCCGTGCCAGGCCAGATCAGACAATTTATTTTGACTTTGGTATATTTTATTTCATCTTATATATATTTATATATTTTATTTTTTCTGTATATATTGTATATGTTAGGATTTTGACATTTGTTTCTCGTGCATATAACAAACTTTCTTCAACAAAATTTGCATTAATCTTTTAATCTAACCAAGTAAATTTAATTGCCATCATTTATGTTTTTCTTTCGTGTAAATTATACTCCGAGATAATCCATCCATTTAAATTACTACTCGGGTATAATCAAAATTCAAAGTTAGTTCTAATCAATTTACAATTCACTAATCCCGCTTATTTTATCAAATATTTCTCATGTTTATTTATTTTATATCTTTGTATTCTTGATTTCTGATTATTTATGTTTTTCATTTATGTAAATTGTACTCTGAGATAATCTAATCCTCCTGAATTATTACTCAGATATAATCAAAATCTAATCCAATATTTCTATAATCCTCAATTGATCAAAGATATGACTCAACTAATTAAGAAATCAAAAATAATCCTAATCCTCAACTGATCAAAGATATGACATGATTCACTCAATAATTTTTAGAAAATCAAAAACCTGTATTAACTGACTACTATATAAATCGCAAATTCAATCTCATTTCATAAACATTCCTCGACACTTGAAAAAGGATAATATTTCGAAAACCGGTTCGTGTCAATTGCGTAAGTTTTTGTTTTACCTGTTATAATTTTTCACATCATTGTTAGCGTTATTTATCACCTAAATATATATTTTTGCATTTTTCATCATAACTTTCATCTTACTTTATATATCCCCAAGCCCAGTTTGACTTATTTGCATAATTTGATCCCAACATTTTCACGCTAGCATATACAATTTCCTCCTGTTACATCCGCTGTACATTCCCTTCTAACCCCAAGTTATTTTCATTATGCTCCCCAACTACAACAACCACTGGCAAGAAGCCAGACATAGAAACACTAATCGTCAACCAAACCAATATCACGTACCCTACAACGGCCCTGTCTTCCATCGACCTCTACCACCTACCAATCGCCGACCACCAACCAACCCATCCAGCTATATCCCACCCCATCGCCGACCTACCTACAACACAGCCTACCAATCAAGAGGTAACCATCGACCTGACCAACAACAGAAACGACTACCAGCCCACCGACGCCAACCAGTCCCCACTCATAAGGAGGAAGAACCCTTTGTGAAGGTGTTCTTCCAAGTTTTGCAGTGCCTCCATCATTTGGCAATCCTTACCCTTCAACAGCAAGGCCAACCAGCGTTTACCTTCAAACACAAAGTCTCTGAGTTGGATAGTTTTATCCGTTCAGCAATGAAAACATCAGCTGTCGACGCGAATATTAGATCCCTCAATCAGACATGGCACTGTAAGGTTACGCAGGTCCTGATCGACCATTACCAAACCACACTTCAAGAGAAGCTGACCACCATTCGTACCAAGTCTTTATCATCACCTGCCGTCGACCGCATCGTTTCTCATGCCCTGTCCTGGGCCCGTCGCTCCTATGGGAAACGTCTCACTCAAGCTGTAATCTCCAAATTCTACCAAACAATCAACGAAACAAAAACCAGAGTAACCATATCTCTACCAACTGAAATGGACACTACACCTGCACCATCTAGAGCCACCACGCTGCCGAACCAAACCCCTAAACGAGCCCGAAGTTCACCTACTCCTAGTCCAGCAGACAGGAAAACGCTCTCGTAGAGAGGGCACACCCCTTCTCTTTTCACTTTCAGACTCGTCTTCCCCTTCCACACCATCTGAATCTTCACCACGTGATCCAGGATCCGCCAACCTTTCTTCCTTCTGTGCGTTTTTGGACCAGCAAACCACCCCTCAGTCTCCATCCAAGTCAAGACGTGTATCCAGACCTTCCCCCCCTCGAACCAGATCCCAGTCCGTTCCCAATGCTACAATTCTAACAACTACCAAACCAGTACCAATCACACCGTCGACAACCATTATATCCGCTACCAAACCGTATTATCACCAAACCAAGGACAAATCATCATGGAAGCTACCTGCTCTA